CTAGCTGTGTGATACTGGGCAAATTACTCAACTCCTTTGAAACTCAGTATCTAATAAACACTACACCTGATTGAAAGGATTTATGTAAAGAAAAAATGAGCAGAGGCCCCACTTAGTCCCTGATACATGGCAGATGTTCAGGAATTGTTACTTCTCTTCCTCTTTACTTCTTGTATGTTTCATCCTCCTCCCCCTCCAGTTATAAATTATTTGAGTCAGGGACTTTGTCCTTCTTTGTATGCCCAGTACCACACAACCTTACACATGATAGGTGTCAATTCATTCACATATTCAGTGAATCCTGGAGCATGTACAATGGACAAAAGTTTAGAGTTGAGAGAGAACAGGCACATTCAGGAACCCCAAATAATTGAATATAGCCCAGGCAGATGTTTTAAGGGGAGATGATGAGAAATGAGGTTAGTCTGGATAAGCTCTCAAAGGGCTTTGTAGAAATTTTTCTTTTCTTTTCTTTTTTTTTTGACTGGAGCTGGGTTTGAACCCACCACCTCCGGCATACGGGACCAGTGCCCTACTCCTTTGAGCCACAGGCGCTGCTCTTCTTTTTTTTAACAGACAGAGTCTTACTTTATCGCCCTTGGTAGAGTGCTGGGGCATCACAGCTCACAGCAACCTCCAACTCCTGGGGTTACATGATTCTCTTGTCTCAGCCTCCCTAGTAGCTGGGACTACAGGTGCCCGCCACAATGCCTAGCTACCCCTGAGCCACAGGCACCGCCCCTAGTTTGTAGAAATGTTGGACTTTATCCCCTAAGGTAGATGATTGCTACAGAACCAGGGAGTGTCAGGACTTTTGTTTCTTTCTTTCTTTTCTTTTCTTTTTTTTTGAGACAGAGTTTCACTGTGTCACCCTCGGTAGAGTGCTATGGCATCACAGCTCACAGTAACCTCAAACTCTTAGACTTCAGGAATTCTCTTGCCTTAGCCTCCCAAGTAGTTGGGAATACAGGCACCTGCCACAACACCAGGCTATTTTTTTTATTTTGGTTGTAGTTGTTACTGTTGTTTGGCAGGCACAGGGTGGGTTCGAACCCGCCAGCTCCAGCGTACGTGGTTGGCACTCTAGCTGCTGAGCTACAGGCACGGATCCTTCTGTTTCATTTTTATTTTACAATGGTTTGGGCTTCTGAAATTTAAGTATGCTTAAGAATCACCAGGGAAGCTTGTTAAAATGTAGATTCCAGAACCACACCAATAGCAGGCCCTAGAATCTGTATTTAAACCAGCACCCTGAAAATGAATTAAAAAAGATGTAAATGCTTTGGGCCGCGCCTGCGGCTCAAAGGAGTAGGGCACCGACCCCATATGCTGGAGGTCAGCCACGGCCAAAAAGAAAAAACTGCCAAAAAAACCCCAAAAGATGTAAATACTTAATATTGAACTATTAACATTTTAGGTTTCTCTTACAGATAAGAGATAGCACAAATGGACCAAAGGTTACATACAGGTGGGAGTCTTATGTAAATATTATATAGAAATGAAATTTGTAAGACACAGTAATTGAACTGTTTGTATTTCATATATTAATAAATTTCTTTTTTTTTTTTGCAGTTTTTGGCTGGGGCTGAGCTTAAACCTGACACCTCTGGTATACGGGGCCAATACCCTACTCCTTGAGCCATAGGTGCTGCCCAATAAATTTCTTTTTTTTTTTTTTTTTTGAGACAGAGCCTCAA